CCAGCTTTTTCTGCTTATGTGGTGCTGAGGAATGGAACCCAGGGCCTCATGCATGCAAGGCAAGCACTCTACCACTGAGCCACCTTCCCAGCCCAATATACTTGTTTTCTAAGACATAGTTGATTGGCAGGACAATTGATATGCTTGCCCTTTGAAGGCTGTCCTTCCTTGTCAGCTCTGAAGAATTTGGTTGAACTAGACTAAGGAAAATACCTGAAATTACAGAGCTCAAGAAAAGATGATCTCACGTACTGTCACAGTTTGGGGGGTTGTGAATTGCATCCAACCTTTTGTAAAACAATTGGAAAAGTATATAATTGCATGCCTGAAGACATGGAACGTGTGTTGAACTGGGAGTGAAGGATCCTGACTTCTTGAGATTTGAAGCTCTCATTATAAGGTGTGACTTGTGAGGGTTTTTTTTTTAAATCTCTTGATCTGTGCCACTTATTAAAACAAAAGATCTAGAAGCCTGGTGCTTATTGCTCACAATTAAAAGCCCAGGTTCAGCCTGGGGACTGGTGGCTCACACCTGTAATCCTAGCTTCTCAGGAGGCTGAGATTTAAGGATCACAGTACAAAGCCAGGCCAGGCAGGAGAGTCTGTAGGAACTGTTCATTTCCAATTAATCACAGAAAAAGCTGGAAGTGGAGCTGTGGCTCAAGTGATAGAACACTAGCCTTGAGCACAAAGGTACTCAAGGACAGAGCCCAGACAGAGTTTAAGCCCTAGAACAATAAAGAAAAATTCCTAGCTGCTCCAAAGGCTGATATCTGAATAGAGGGTTGAAGCCAGGGCAGACAAATATTTGAGACTTTACATCCACTAACCAGCAGAAAGCTAGAAGTAGAATTGTGATTCAAGTGGTAGAGTGCCAGCAGTAAGTAGATGGTCTGGGATGGCAGCCCCCTCTAACTCCCAGTGGCCTTCAGTATTTAGAAGAAATTGTTCTCTGGGAGCCCCTCTGGCCTAAATGAATGTTTAGATTCTAAAAGCCTTCACATAGGAAGATCTAGTAGTACATTGATTTCCTAAGTTCACTATGTCTATATGAACATGCTTCCTTTTTTTCCATGTGTAGCAAAGCTGTTGGGATGCCTTCCCCAGTTTCCCCAAAGCTGTCACCAGGCAATTCTGGAAGTTACTCCTCTGGGGGCAGTAGTGCTTCAGCAAGTGGTTCTTCAGTGACCATTCCGCAGAAGATCCACCAGATGGCAGCCAGCTATGTTCAGGTTACCTCTAATTTCCTCTATGCCACCGAAATTTGGGACCAAGCTGAACAGCTTTCCAAAGAGCAAAAAGGTAGGTAGGGTGCTGGGGGAAGCTTTGAGCATTGTAATTGGTAAAAGGAATCTTTTGTAATTATTTATCTGATAGGTATTTCATTTATCACCTAGCTTATAGTTAATCATAATCAGTTTGCTATTAATCTCTTTTGCTTTGTAATCACACTAAATATAATTGAATTTATTTATATGTGTATACACATGTGTGCTGGTATTGAGGCTTGAACTCAGAGCTTAGGCACTGTTCCTTAGGATTTTTAGCTCAAGGCTAAAGCTCTATCACTTGAGCTACAGCTCCACTTCTGGCTTTCTGGTGGTTAATTGGAGATAAGAGTCTTCATGTTACTTCATGTCTGGGCTGGCTTTGAACCATGCTTCTCAGATCTCAGCTTCCTGAGTAGCTAGAATTACAGGTGTGAATCACTATCACCCAGCTGTAACTGATTTTTTTTTAATTGTTGTTTTTTAAAGTCTGGGAAATAGTTCTTGCAATTTTCAAACATTGACTACAGAGCAAAGAATGTTATATTGAGCCACTTTTGTTGTTGTTGTTGTTGTTGTTGTTGGTCATGGGGCCTGAACTCTGGGCCTGGATGCTGTCCCTCAGCTCTTCAGCTCAAGGCTAGCGCTCTACCACTTGAGCCACAACACCACTTCCAGCTTTTTCAGCTTATGTGGTGCTGAGGAATGGAACCCAGGACCTCATGCATGCAAGGCAAGCACTCTACCACTGAGCCACCTTCCTAGCCTATTGAGCCACTTTTATACCTTTCAATACAGTTTGCTAGTTGTATGTATGCACCCTTGCTTTTCCTCTGGTACCATCAGCCCCCTCCAGTGGAATTGTGTTTGCGTGTGATCCTAGAGCTTGAACTCAGGACATATGAACATTGTCCTTAAGCTGCTTTTGCTCAGTTTCATGGACTTTTCTGCTCAGACTGGCATTGAACCAGGTCAGAATTACAGGTGTTAGTCACTGGCTCCTGGCTATCCTGCAGAATGAATTTTTGTTGTTGTTGTTGTGGGGTTTGAACTCAGAGCCTAGGAACTGTCCCTGGGCTCTATTTTGCTCAAGGCTAATAATACTCTACTACTTGAACCATAGTGCCACTTCTGGTGTTTGAATAGTTCATTGGAGATGAGAGTCTCACGGATTTTTCTGCCCCAGCTGACTTCAAACCAGGATCCTCAAATTTCAGCCTGTTAAGTAGCTAGCATTACAGGCATAGGCCACCAAGGGCTGGCTCCTAAAGAATATTTTAAAGCAAATACATGATTTTTTTTTAATTTTTTGGTATGCATCCTTAAATGATGCAGACTTTTCAAAAACATAACATAGCACCAAAGTTAACAATAGATCTTATATTGTCTAATATCTAGTATGTCCTCAGATTTCTTCTGTTGTCTCATATATGCATTCTTTTACATTTTATATTTAATATCTCTGGTTTTATTTTCCTTGCTATATCGCCCAGATGGGCCTTGAACTTAATCTTCCTATGTACTATCCTTATGTAAAAAGCAAATGATACTGGCTACTTAGACCTAACAAAATATAAAAATGGAGATATAGCTTCTATTTACTAATGATTAATTTCTCAGTGTTGCATGGTATATGATCACTATAGGAAAGTTGAACACGGTGTCTTATTTAACTGCATATGAGGTACTTTGGGGAACTTAACAAAGAATGCTTTTTTGGGATGCCTTTTTTTGGGAGGGGGACAGTTTTAGGGCTTGAACCTCAGGGTCTGGATGCTGTTTATCTTTTTCACTCAAGGCTGATTTTCCACAACTTGAGCCACAGATGTACTTCTGGCTTGGTGGTTAATTGGCAATAAGAGTTTCATGGTCTTTTCCTATCCCAGGACTAGCGTTGAACTCTGATCATCAGATCTCCATCTCCTGAATAGCTAAAGGTTATAGGCATGAGCCATTGGCACCAAGTCTTTTATTTTTTTCTTGGTCATGGGGCTTAAACTCTGGGTCTGGGTGCTGTCCCTGAGCTCTTCAGCTCAAGGCTAGCACTCTACCACTTGAGCCACAGTGCCATTTCTGGTTTTCTGCTGGTTAATAAGAGTCTCACGGACTTTTCTGCCTGGGCTGGCTTTTGAACCACAATCCTCAATCCTCAGCTTCCTTAGGTAGGATTACAGGCATGAGCATGAGCCACCAGTGCTCAGCTTTTTTTTTTTTTTTTTTTTTTTTAATGTTTTAGTTTTGGTGCCAGTACTCATGCTCTTACTCAGTTTTTCATTCGCAGTACTCTGTCACTTGAGCCATCCCTCCAGCCCAGTGTGTTTTGCTGGTTAGTTGGAGATAGCCTTTTCAGACTTTTCTGCTCAAGCTGGCTTCAGACCATGGTGCTCAGATCTCAGCCTCATGAATTAGCTAGAATTCCAAGTGTGATCACCCAGCACTACTACTTTCTTTCTTCCTTTCTTTCTTCCTTTCTTTCTTTCTTTCTTTCATTCTTTCTTTTTGTCGGTTGTGGGGCTTGAACTCTTACACAAAAACAGTGCATAAAGAATATTTTGTATAATCAAAGAGTTTGTTGCATGTGAGTGCACATCCATTTTCAAGATGTATGTATAACAATTCCTGACTATGCATTCTGTTTAAAATGTTGTATAACTTATAGAACAATATAACAAGAGACTTTAATGCTTTATTCTAAAACATAACCAAGTCATTCAGTGTAGGAAGGCTACTTTTTAAAAATATTTTGAGGGCTGGAAAGGTGGCTCAGTGGTAGAGTGCTTGCCTTGCATGCATGAGACCCTGGGTTCAATTCCTCAGCAACACATAAGCAGAAAAATCCGGAAGTGGTGCTATGGCTCAAGTGGTAGAGTGCTATCCTTGAGCTGAAGAGCTGAGGGACAGTGTCCAGACCCAGAGTTCAGGCCCCAGGACTGGCATAAATAAATAAATATTTTGATTATTATAAAGGTAATATGCAGAGGGATTATTAGAGTTTCATAAAGCAGGTGAAGTCATGCCTTTTACTTCATGCAGATGCTATTTTACAGTCTAGACTGAACATTTTTAATTACTGATTAAGAATGTTTTGGGATTGATGTTAATGAATGGTTTTTCATTTTCTAGAATTCTTTGCTGAACTGGATAAAGTAATGGGTCCTCTCATCTTTAATGCAAGCATCATGACAGATCTAGCTCGTTATACCCGGCAGGGACTACACTGGCTTCGCCAGGATGCCAAGTTGATATCTTGAACTGAACACATTCTCGTTGCCTCTGATTTTCTCCACAACACTGTGTCACATCACGAAGGAAAACTGCCATAACATGCCACCTAGTCGACACTAAGAATGAGGAATGGTTTCTCCTCCTTGGTTTATGTGTTGTTTTTTATAACCCAAAGCCATCATATCAATTGACCCCTTCAGTATTCCCAGTGTGAAAAACTTATTTAATTGCTTTTCAGTCTGCAGCACATTGATAAGGTAGTTTTATTGATCTCCTAAGAAGATTGAAGTTCCAGTTGCAATTCGTAATTAATCAAGTGAAAATTATTTATTTTAATATTTGTAAGTTCCCAGACTGGGGCTTCTTTAAAACTTATTTTTTTGACTATAAATTTATTCTGTTGAATATTTAGTGTAAATCTAATATAGGCCTTTTTATTTATGTATTTGGGGAGTTTTGTTACCTAATGTCTTTTTGTGGTCACTCTACCAAGAGTGAGAGTTGATTCATCTAAAATAGGGACGTGTTCTTGCTACACGTTCTATCTATTATTTCAGTTCTTAACTACAATTTTATTATTGTAGAATTTATGCTTAGTGTTACAGTTATTCCTCTACACATGAAAGATCATTTAAATATGAAATGGCATTGTATGTGGTTGTAAAATGAAATATGTCTGATTTGATATGCATTATTTCAAAAACTGTGAACATGTTAATAACACTACACCAATCACAAGGTGACTATAACATACTTTTAATGCATTACAAAAGAGCAGGTATAAAACTTTCTAGGAATATATCATATTGAAAGGTATCATAAAAGGACAATCTTAAACTATGAATTTTATTAGGACCAGGTGTTCATTTTTGTTGCTAGTTATTTGACACTTAATTGAGCAGAATAAGTTACTCTTGTTCAAAAACAAAATTGCTCCAACCCAATGGGGGTTGCTGCCTATGTCTCTTCAGTTGATGATGTTTGAAGGTTAATGATCTCTTTGCAGATTTTTCCCCCACAGTAGAGTGTGACACTCCTGAAGAAAGAGCTTGCAGGGACTGATATGGACGTGGACAGGCACTTTGGTGTATCTGCTTCCACTGTACAGCCAACAGTTCTCATGCCTCACGTTGGGATGATGAGTTTCCCCTTTTTAAACGCCTTCATCAGTGATGCATGTTTCTGATGGAATCAGAAAATTCACACTAGAAAAGTGTACCTAACTTGGTTCAATGTGAGTTCTCTTGGAAAGGGGAAGAGAGCAAGGGTAGAATTTAAGAAGGCAGCTCTGTAAGAAACATATATCAAAGTACCTTTCCCGACAAGGTGCACATAGGACTCAAGAGTGAGAAATATATCCTCCTCTGTACTTTGTTTTTAGTGCCCCTATCACGTTTGGCGTGCCTTAAATCTTACCTTTTAATGGAAGACTCTCCAGATTGTTTACAGATGATGTTTTACATTAGGACTAGATCTTCTATACATGGTTGGTCCTCTAGAGTAATAATTTTAAATTCTTTCATTTAAAGCTTCTTATAAAGTCATGTAAGGATTTAATTTCAGAAAAACTCATGTTTTGGTATATGACTTAGTCTAACCAATTGGATAATGCTGCTTAAAAAAATAACTTGTTCTCATTCTAAAAAAGAATCCATCCAATTGGACAAAGGATTGCCGTACTACTTGTAGATAATTGCTAAGACTTGAAATAGGAAAAGGGGTAAAAGGGATAGAAAATTCTCCCAAGTTCCCGTGGTGCAGTGAGTCTTTTAAACTTATTTCTGAAGCTTAGTGAACTTTTCTCTTTCCTTGTTTTTTTTAATTAGTGTAAATTGTACAAGGGGTTTCATTGTGATACTTAAACTTTGATCAGATTCACCACATCTGTCTATCTTCTACATGAAGCTGGTGAACTTTCATTGTCCTGCAGCCTCAGACTTACTATAGAGCTGCTCAATCGTCTCGTACCTCGTTATTTTTACATATCATTTGAAGATTGAGATCTACAAATTAAGATGAATTTACCTTGTTTTCCTGTAGAGAAGTTGCTTCTGGTATTTTTCTAGTTCAATGTGTTCCAGGAACAGTTTCTCTTCAGAGGACAACTTTTCAGCAATCACAGTAGTCATTTAGTAAGACATGAGGCTGGTTAACTAAGTATATTTATGTCCTGTCCTCTGATTTCTCTAACTCTAATTCCTTGATTTGTAATGATGTCCAAAAAGTGGAAGGAGCAAAGGTTGTTAGGTTTTTTAGGCTTCAGCAGCCACAGCCAACAGGGCACCTCTGGATTTCAGTACATTCTATCCTCGTGTGTGTCCTGCTTGGCGGCAGTGGGAGCATTCAGAGTCACAGTGCTGTGGTGTTTAAGCAGAGTTTCCTATGTGTTTTATGGTGCTGCCCTAAGATATTTTCTCTCTAAAACTGTATTAATTCTTGGAGAATGTGTTAAACAGCTTTTCATTGTGGAAGGGGGCAATGGATCAAAATCCTAAGTAATTGAATTGTCAATGTTGTAGACTGTGAGACTCCTCCTCCTCCTCTGTGTCTGTCGCCTCAGATGTCCAGTCTGCATCGTCTCCTCCAGCCACCTACCTTGGACTCTCTTACAGGTGACCATTCCTCCCACCTCAGTAGAGGGGTCCTTGGTGTTTTCCAACCATTTAATCCTGAATTTGACAAGTGGCTACAAACTTACTTAGTCTAAGACTTGTATCTAGTATCCAGTTAACTACAGAAATAGCAACTATTTTAAAAGTTACTCTGTTGACTGCTCTTTAAGACCACACTTGTATGCCAGGAGGCAGCAGCCTGCACTACTGGACTCTTCAGGCAACCAGCAGACCAGCTGCAGTGGATCACATTGCCACAGTAGTTTTGCCCAGGTTAGGCTGGGCTAGGGAGGGGGTAGGAAGGCCTCTCTTCTAGGCGATTCAAGCTTGCACAGCTCAGCCGCAGGCCCCAGTCTGGCTGCAAAGCATCCAGCCCTTTCCTTGTCCTTTTTCTTGACAAGGAGTCAAGAAGTGACCATAAACAGTGCATACTTCAGATACCTGCACAACTACAGCTGTTGAAGAACAAAGAAGATTGACCACTACTGATTTAATTCTCCAGTATAAAAAACAATTTAATGTGTGCACGTGCCCACACACGCCTTTTTTTTTTTTTCTGTTTGTTTGTTTCCTGGGGAACTCTTGCACTAGGGATCCATAGACCTCTAGGCTGCACTTTGAATGACACACTTGTGGCTTTAGTAGATTTCACTGTGGGTTCTTTTGTTTGTTTGTTTGTTTTGCTGTTGTTTTTAATTATCGTTTCTTTCCATTCAAGGTTTGACTCAGCTAGATCAGCTAGATCATTTTATATTTAATGGCAGAAACTTTGGTACCTTGGTGTTTAATGAGTGAGTGAGCTTGCATTGTGAGACATCTGGTTCTAAGCGCTGGTCCTGGGGCCAGGGCTCGGTGGAGTTTCAGAGCAGCTAGTGATGTCTAGCTGTGTCGAGGAGGCTTACGCTGTGCACTCTTCTAGGTATAAAGGTATACAACTTTGGATCTTAAAAATTATGTACACATACACACTTTATATATATATATGTATGTATGTATGAAAACATGAAATTAGTTTGTCCAAATGTGTGTGTTTAGTATTTTAGCTTAGTGCAACTATTTCCACATTATTTATTAAATTGATCTAAGACACTTTCTTGTTAATACCTTGAATATTAATGTTCAAGGGTGCAATGTGTATTCCTTTAGATTGTTAAAGCTTAATTACTATGATTTGTAGTAAATTAACTTTTAAAATATATTTGAGCCCTTATGTAGTGTAATACAGGGCTCTTACAGGGTGGGAAGGATTTAATTTTCCAGTAGCTAATTAAACAAAAAAGCTTATGTATTTTGATTTATAATAGGAGTCTATTTATAGGCGTTTGGGTCCCAGGAACATTTACTGGTACTGGGGATGCCTGTTTTAGGCAGATTGTGATGATGCTTTAAAAAACAAAAAAAAATAATAATAAAAGCCTAAGTAACTTGGGGAGCCAGAGCATTTCAAATCCATGTAGACTCCTGTAACTCATATTCCCCCTTCCCTGGTTCCATGCAATGCAGACTTCATTTCAGCTTCACATATCAGTGTGTGAGAGGCAGACTTTCTCCCAATAATAATATTACGCACATAAGGTTGCTATTCAGCAAATAGAAGATGGAAGAAATAATCATTGAAACTGAATGACTTAGAAGATAACAGTGACAAAAGGCCAAAATAGTTATGTTTGACAACATACCTTTCATATATTTGCTAATGGAAAAATTGAGTTAGGACTTCCAGGCCCTAAAACCAAGCTAGCAAGTGATAGGAAGTCAGTTATTAAGAGTTAATAAAGGCATACTCATCTACTAATGATATTTCATATGAACCCCATAGTTGGTTAATTAAAAGGAACTTGGGGGTTGATGTATGGCTCAAGTGATAGGGCACTTGGGTTAGCAAGCTTGAGGTTCTTAATTCACACCCTAATACCACCAAAAACAACAACAGTAAAAACTTTGCTGACTCTAGAACTGAGAATAGAAAGAGGAGCAAACTCTGGTTTTAATGGAATTTGGTTGCAGAATAGGGTATTCCAGTTGTCAGCCAAGTCAGAAAGACAATTAAGTATCCTAAAATAGCAGCCTAAATAGCCATCATGTAAAGCACTGGTTTTCAGGAATGTCTGCATGGACCTCTCCTTGCTACCATTCTTCAGCTAACTGTCAGTTGCCATTTTGAGAAAGAAAGCCGTCTTTTAAGTGAGCATTTTAGAAAAGCTCTCAGCCAGAAATTCTAGTAACATTTAATTTTTGCCTCATACTGCTTCCATGTAGGGTTTCTTCTCAGTTTTTCACTATTGGAATTCTCTACCTACTATGTCCCTATCTGGAAAGTATCTATTTGGAAATGCTGCCTTTCAAGTCAATGCCATGATGAATCCATATTGTTGAGTTTGTTGTTGCTGTTCAAGAAGTGTCCCCATTTTACAACTTCATGCACACACCTGGCCAATCACTGACATGAGCATTCAACAGTACTGGGATTTAAAAGGGGGAGGGAGGGGGAGCAGCGCTCACCAACAGAGATGGCTCAGTGAGGGCCAGCTGTGGGGTTGGTAAGCACAGTTAAGAATATTTCTAGCCTCCGTTTTGAATGGTTTTAAGAAATTTTGTATATGGAGGATAGAAATACTTATATATTTATTGAAAATCCTTTTATTTGAATTTAAAATTATTTGGTAAATAATGATTTGATATGGGTGGGGGGGTTAGAGGGGAGGTAACACTATTGACAAACAATAAGTCTGTTGGTTCCACAGAAAGGTACTGTTAATGACTTAAATAGGATGCCTTTGTTTTGTACATGATCGAAAACTTCATTTTACATTTCTTTTATTCAGAATATTTAGGCATCTGACATTTGCAACCAAAATTTCAATTATATACTGTGATTTTTATTTGTTGCAATACATTAAAATTTTAGAGGTACTTCGGGGCTCAGACGCTAGGATTTCTAAGTCAGTATGTGCATTTCACCTAATAAAGCTGTTAATGGTGAGCAAAGTATTATATACTAACTAGATTTTTCCACATCTGTATAGTATATTATATGTATTTTGTGGTATTGAGATTATAGAAAGTTTAGAGTGTCAAACATGCGTTTAATGTGTATTTTTAAACAAATTTATGGCAATTAAAATATTTGGAGACAAGGGTATCACATTTCAATTTGTAAAAATCTTTTTAACTCTACTGTGTCATTAAGATGCTTTGTATAATGCCAAACCATAGCTGGAGAAACTAAGTTTAATAAATATCAAATAGATTTTCTGTATTAAAGTTTAATACACTGTTCTCTTTACACCCCAGCTCCTTACCCTTTGCATGCAGCAGCTTGTTTTGTATTTTAGGGTTCTGTACTGAGTCTGGTCCCCCTCAGCACGTCATTTACTTGTGACAGCATACTGGTCCTGGGTCTTTGTGCATAACATCACTATCATCTTACCTGAAAAAATCTCAAATCCCTTTTGATGTTCTCAGTAACATGGATTTTTGTCCCTTTATTAAACTAGATTTTTCCTTGAGTTCTGCTTTCATGTTCAGAGAGGCATAGACAGAATCACAGATCAGGCAGCAAGGGCCAACCTGGCCCGTCTTGACACTTTTATATGGAGTGAAGATCCAGAAGGCAGGGCCACAATTTAGGGTCTTGCCATATTAACTCATTGTTTTGTTTTGCCAGCCTAGGGCCTGGGTGCTGAGCTTTTGTTATTATTTTTTTTTTTGGCTCAAGGCTAGTGCTCTACCACTTGAGCCACAGCTCCTCTTCGGGCTTTTTGGTGGTTAACTGGAGATAAGAATCTCACAGGCTTTCCTGTCCAGGCAGGCTTCAAACCATGATCCACAGATCTCAGCCTCCCAAGTAGCTAGTATTATGAGTGTGAACCAGCACCTGGCCCTTTGTGTTCTTTTTAAGGCTTTTGAAGATGTTAACTTGTAGTCATGAAACTTGAATTCAGGGCCTGGGTCTGTCTCCGAACTTTTTCACCCAAGTCTAGTGCTCTACCAGTTTGGGCTACAGTGTCACTTCCAATTACCAGGTAGTTAATTGGAGATAAAGAGTCTCATGGAAGGCAAGCGCCGGTCGCTCACAGCTGGTCATCCTAGCTACTCAGGAGCCTGAGATCTGAGGACCATGCTTTGAAGCCAGCTGGGCAGAAAAGTCCCCGAGACACTTCTCCAATTAACCATTCAAAAACTAGAAGTGGCACTGAGGCTCAAGTGGTAAAGTCCTAGCATTGAGCAAAAGAGGCTCAGGGACAGAGCCTAGGCCCTGAGTTCAAGCCCCACAAAAAAAAAAAAAAAAAAAGTCTCACAGGCTTTCCTGTCTGGAACTATGATTCTCAAATCTCAGCCTGCTGAGTAGCAAGGATTACAGGTGTGAGCCACTGGTACCCAGTAAAAATCTGTTAACCACACTTTCCAGACAGAGAAGTTAACACATCATTATTGGGCAGTGCTAGTTTTTTTTTTCTTTTTTTGCTAGTTCTGGGGCTTTAACTCAGGGCCTGGGCACTGTCTGAGCTTCTTTTGCTCAGGGCTAGCACTACGACCACTTGAGCTACAGCGTCACTTCTGGCTTTTTCTGTGTATGTGATACTGAGGAATTGAACCCAGGACTTCATGCATGCTAGGCAAGCACTCTACCACTAAGCCACATTCCCAGCCCTCAATATTCCTTTGCTAAAGTGAATGACAGGAGGTAGGAATATACCACCTTCTCAGGAATACAATCTTGACCTGGCCTGAGACCCCAAGTTTTTAATTTTCTTTTTCCTGTACTTTACAAAGTTGAAGCCTTTCAAGTTTGAAGTCAGACTGCCAGCATTTCTATTTGAGTTATTTAATAGTATCCATAGAAAAATAAACTTAAAATAGACATATTTGTTATCCACACATCAATATACCAAGAAGAAAATGGAGACCAGTCGAAAGCATGCATCTTTTAAATATTAAAAACACAAGATTGCTTCACTTAAGTATCTCCAGCCAAAATGCAGTTCATCAATATTCCATAGAACGGAGCATTGGAGGTCACGTCTGTCTCTTCTTCCCCTAGAATGGGCATTATTCCTGGGCCACACTTAAGGAGCAGCGTCTTTTTCTAGAGGAGAAAAATGGTGGTTTTTAAGAACTAGATCTAGCAGAGCCCAGTCTTTGATCTATCCAGCCCAAGGAAAGAAACCTGGAGTGGACCTTGGTTTTTCATACCCAAGGGCTTCTCTGTGCAGCTGACTGCCTCAGCCTTAGCACCCCAACATCCCAAGCTCTTCTTGGATCTCTATTCTTGCCCCCTTCCCACTTTTCCAGGCCTTTCTGGCTCAGCCCTGCACCCAGATTTGTGGAGTAGTACCTGCATAGCCTTGTGATGCACTCAGAATCATCCCGACAGGAGGCTCCAATAGGTCTGAGAGAAACCCCTCTCCAAAAAGGTGTCATTCTCCGTGGTCGTCTCTTTGCTGAACTCAGTTCTGGTACCGGGGAGCCATTTGCCTATAGAAGAAAGATTCAAGTGTGGATGTTTGATGCCCTCTGCTACACACATCTACAACACTGGAGACTCAACAGGAGCCATTCCTCAAGACCCAAGTCTGACTTACAAGTTCTACTTAAAATCCTACTGCCACCAAGCTGGGTACCAAATGGGTCACACCCATAAGCCTAGCTACTCAAGAGGCTGAGATCTGAAGATTGCAGTTCAAAGCCAGCCCAGGCAGGAAAGTGTTAAGACACTTCATCTCTAATGACCCATGAAAAATATGGAAGTGGAGCTGTAGCCCAAGGGGTAGAATACTAACTAACCTTGGGCACAAAGAAGCTCAGGGACAGTGCCCAGACCCTGAGTTCAATCTCCAGGACTAGCAACACAAAAATCCCACCATGTCCAAGCCTACACGGGGCCCTTCCTTACCTCACCCAGCATCAGCAAGCAGATCATGAGCACTGCAAAGAGTTTGAGGTGCCACATCTTGGCAGAAGATGCTAAAGCCTGAAAGCTAGGAACACTTAGCATTTCCCTTTTTATAGACACACACCTACCTTTCTCCTGCTTGCCAGGTGAGATTGGACAAAGTTTATATTTGTAATCAGGATCGATTTAATAAGTTAATATCTACCCAAGGCATGTGTTCAGGGCTACCTTTGAGGCACATTGCATTTACTGATCCCTCATCTGGACTTTGAATGATTGTGTTGCTGGCCTGGACTCTCTCACCCATTTGATCAGGAGTCAGCCCTGCCCCTCCTCTTTGGAAGCCACGTGAAACCACGAAGGGAGATTAGGCATCTGGCCATATTTCAAAAATAGCTCAGGCGAGGTGGGGGGAGGGGTAGAGTGTTAGCATGTAGGAGGCCCAGGGTTCAATTCCTAGCTGTACAGGAGGAGGGAGGCGGGGGGAAGGGAGGGAGAGAAAAAAAAAGTCTCAAAATAGCTCAACTATTTTCACTAGTCAAAACAGTCTTCAGAAATAAGGTTGACCTCTCTGAATATTTGTCTAGGCAGGAAGCACTGGACTATTGTATATGGCTCTTCTCTCTCCTGTGGGAAGATACCTCATCAGCCTACAGGGTCAGGGGTCCCTCATTGGCATACAGGAGCCATCACCCTGATGATGGGGCGTCAGCTGATCCTCCCACAGTGAAGACCCTGCTGTGGACAACTCCGTCCTGGTATCCATGCAGCCTGCCAAGGGAAATGGCAACCCATTCTGGTGGGATTTATTGGAGCCATAGGTGAGTTGAATAATGACACGTTGGGGTTGGGGTTTTTCAAGGACCTGTGAATGAGATGGTAATGGGAATTGTGAAATTGGTGTACGAGCTTATATAGTCACAACATTGAATTATATACCGGCTTTACTTCCAGTATAGATGGCTGGGCTTTGGCAGAGCAGCCTTAGGGGAACAGGCATGAAGCTAACTCTAAAGCTCAATATTCATGAACCTTAGTAGGAATCTAGACCAAAAGAGGATACACTTTCAAACCCTGAGTAGTTAAGGAGGGTACTGCAATTTTATCATTTTCATTGTTTCTGAAGGCAGAGAGTTTTGCCAAGGAGCCCAGGCTGGTCTCTAACTCAAAGATTCAAGAGGCCTTAGCCTCTCAAGTGCTGGGATTATAAAAGCATCTTCTCCAGTGTTGATTGAGCATTTTTTAGTACATTTGGGAGGAAAGCTGACTTCTGCATAGGGAGATTTGAGATCTCCATGAAAGGATAAGAGAAATGCAACAAGATTTTTTTTTTTTCTTTTTTGTCGGTTGTGGGTCCTGAACTCTGGGTCTGAGCGCTGTCTCTCAGCTCTTCAGCTCAAGGCTAGCGCTCTACCATTTGAGCCACAGCACCACTTCTGGCTTTTTCTGCTTATGTGGTGCTGAGGAATTGAACTCACGGCCTCATGCATGCAAGGCAAGTACTCTACACTGAGCCACCTTCCTAGCCCCAAGATTTTTTTCATTTAATCTGCCTGCCTTGTATCTCACTGGAAACTTGGCTAACACCTCTTCCCAAAGCTCCTAAGGTTGGATATTTGGGGAAGAGCTTGCCTGTTCCCTTTACCTCCCAGCAGAAATGGAGGATCATTACCAATCCTACATCAAGGAAGAGGGAGCTTCTCCCAGGGAGAAGAGCATGGTCTCATGATGTGTGGGATGTGACTCCATACATTTGCTGGCCCTGATTCTAGTCCTCTTGGGACCATGGAGGTCTCAAATTTAGAATCATCAAGAAGCAGGCCTTAGACATGTGCCTATGGCTCACACCTGTAACCCTAGCTACTACTTAGGAGGCTGAGATCTGAGGGTCATGATTCAGTGCCAGCTGGACATACAAGTTCATAAGACTTCCCATCTCCCTCATGGGGCTTGTACTCTGGGCCTGGGCACTGTCCCTCAGCTCTTCAGCTCAAGGCTAGCACTCTACCACTTGAGCTACAGTGCCACTTCTGGTTTTCTGGTGGTTAATTGGAGATAAGAGTCTCTTGGACTTTACTGCCTGGGCTGGCTTTGAACCGTGATCCTCAGATCTCAGCCTCCTCAGTAGCTAGGATTACAGGCTTGAGCCACCAGCACTCAGCTCATAAGACTCTTATAACCAGCAAAAAACTGGAAGTGGAGCTGTGGCCTCAAGTGGTAGAACACTAGGCTGGAGTAACAAAGTTCGGGGACAGTGCCCAGACTTTGAATTCAAGTCCCCAGGGCTGGCGCACACACACACAAAAGAAGGAAGGAGGAGAATGAGGAAGGTCAAGGAAGAAGAGCAGAAGGAAGAGGAAGAG